AGGTCACTAGTCACAAGTCGCTAGTCACTACTCACTACCCACTACTCACTATTCAGTAATCGCTACTCACTAACCACTATCCGCTACCCACTTCTTATTACTCACTGCTCACTGCTCCCTACTCACTACTCACTACTCGCTAGTCCCTACTCGCTACTCGCTACACTACCCACTGCCACTACCCACTACTCTATTCATCACTACTCACTACTCACTACGCACTACGTACTACTCACGAATCACTACCCACTATTCACTACTGACTACTCTCTACTCACTACTCACTACTCACTACGCCCTACTCGCTCCTCACTACTCACTACTCGCTACTCACTACACACTACCCACTACCGCTACCCACTACTCTCTAATCATCACTACTCACTACGCACTACGTACTACTCAGTACTCACTACTCACTACTTACTACCCGCTATTCTCTACTCACTACTCACTACTCTCTACGCACTACGCACTACCCACTACTCACTACTCACTATTCACCACTCGCCACCCACTACTCACTACCCACTACTCACTACCCACTACTCATTACTCCCTGCTCAGTACTCACTACTTACTCACTACTCGCTATCCACTACTCATTACCCACTACTCGCCACTCACTACTTACTTATCAGTACACACTACTCACTATTCACTACTCACTACTCCCCACTCCCTACTCCCTACTCCCTACTCGCCACTCACTATCCACTACTCACCACCGAATACTCACTACTCACTACGCACTAACTCACTACTCACTACTCACCACCCCCTACTCCCAAACTCCACACTCCCTACACACCTTCTCTGGCGCAGACAGGAGAAGCGAGAGAGGCCCCCCTTCCCCGGCTCCCTCTCCGGCGAAAGGGGGGGGGGGGGTCGAGCCCCCCCCCCCCGGTCAGCGCTAAGGGGGGGGGGGGGTCGCGGATCCCCCCCCCCTTAAGGGGGGAAGGGGGGCGGGAGGGGGGAACCCCCCCCCCTTGAAGGAGGGGGGGGGGGGGTTCTGGACCCCCCCCCCTTAGCGTATTCAAGGAGATCCACTGGCGCACTTTCCTAGTGTTCTTCGTGGCCGTCCTGTTCTGGCTCGCCGGCATGATGCCTGGTGGAGCCAGCCCACAGGGCGACGGCGGCAATGGCGCGATCCCTTTCCGCCTGCCGCCCCCATGGCCACCCGAGCGCGCGAAATCATGCATTCCCACCGCCACTGGGTGCAGGACTTGCTCGCGTGGAGCCGACTAGCCGCCGACATCGACATCGCCCAACAATGCGCCGCTGTCGCCCTCAACCTCGGTGGGGCCGCTCGCGAGCCTGCGCGCTCCATGAGCTTCGCGGAAAGGACGGAGGGAGGCGTGGCCAACGGCCAGCAAGAAGATGCCGTGACTTAGCTCACTGCGAAGCTCGCCGCGCAGCTCGGTCCACTAGGCGAGGAGTCGCGCTTCCAGGCTACCGGCGAACTCTGCGAGCTCTCGGGGCGCCACAACGAAACCACCAAAGCGCTGCTCTCGCGGCTCCTCACGTTGCGATTCTGAGCCATGCACAACGGTGGAGCTGCGATGAGTCGGGAAGATACAGCTGGCTGCTCCTCCGAGCGGCCGGCGTCGCAGTCAGCCGATTCATGGCGCTGCTCCAGCCTTGCGGCCGCCGGTGCCGAGCCACGGAGGCCGAGTTCAACAGTCCCACGACTATGCTCAGGCGCGTGGGTCATATCGTCGAGCGCGCACCAAACTACACCACCGCTCTTCGTGCGCCGCCAGGTCGTTCGAATGCGTCGCGGGCGTGGCCAGCGAAAACATCGACGACGCATGTGCAACAGACCCCTGGCACACTCAGTGTCTCGACTCCTGGGCTGCCGGCGCCGCCGAGCTTTCTCATTGCCGGCAGTGCCATTGCGCGCGCCGCTGCCGCGTCTGTGAGCGCCGCGCCGCCGCTGGCAGCCAATCCCGCCGCCGCGCGGGCGCCCGCCGACGGGGCCGACTGCGTCAGCGGGGCCTCCTCAGATACCAGGTCGGGCCCATGTGGCAGGTCAACGGGTCAACTATCAAACCGCCAGAGCTCCAAGGTCGCTGTCAGATGATGGCTGCTGAGCGGCAGCGGCGCAGACGCATGCGACGCCCCACTCGTAAGGTACGCAGGCCCATCAAGAAGAACATCAGCGTTTCTTTAAGGAACGAAGACGGACTGGCAAAGGCGAAGGTTCCCAGAGGCGCGAATTTCTCTTGCAGATGTCAGGCGCCCATGTAGATCTGGTCTTCTTCTGTGGAAAAGGATTGAGCGGGGGGCCCGCGCTGGCCGGGCGAAGAGGAAAGCAGACGCCTCCATCAACAAGACTGCGACGTGACTGCCGTGGGGCGTAGCATCTGTGGAGGCGGGCGCCACTTGCACCGCGTCGTCGCCGCAAGGCAGCGGCGGCGGCGGACAATTTGGGCGATGCGCAGAGTCAGAAACCATAGACGGCACCCATGGCCCCCGCCTCCTTCCCGGGATCTCAGAGGTTGCCTTCGCGATCGCTGGGGGCCCTTCCCAGCCGCGGCCAGATCGCATCATCGCGCCAGTCCGGCCATCCGTCGACGGCCCCCGGCAGCTGCCTGGGTTTGCCCGCGGCTCGCGGTCAGCGGCCTCGCTCGTCACGGCCCGGGACCGCGCGCGCTGATGCGCCAGATGTCCCGCCACCACTTCAGATGTTCAGCATTGCAGCCCCGTCTCCAGGGCCGCCGCAAATGCCGGCGCCGCCGCCGTTCCTTGGCACGGCTGCAGCAGCGGAGCCAGCAGCGGCCACCGATGGAGCTCGCCCTTCCGCCAGCGCGCCGCGGAGGACAGCCCTGCAGGGCCCCCGCGAGATGAATCGCATCGGCCGGCGGTGCAGCGCAGGCGCCGCCGCCCCGCCGATGGGCCAGCTCGCCGCGCCCGACGACCAGCGGATCACCACCCCCTGCGTCAGTGGCCACGGCAAACTCGCGCGCCCACGCAGGGCCAGCCAGCGCGGGTTGCCCTGCCAGACGGACAACGCCGCGGATGCGAGCGCATCGCAGAAGTGCCGACCGCGGCGGTCAGGACCAAGGTCGCGCGCCGCGCGACCTAGCCCTTGAAATATCCATCCAGCTGTCTTTCATTGCCAGATTGGAGGCCGACCGCGACGCTCAGATGGTTAGCGATGCGCCCGCAGACGCGAGCGCGCCCAGCAAAGCATCGACGTATTCATGGTAAGATTCTGCCGTAGCACCGCCGCCACAACCATCGGATCTGCGCGCAGAGTCAGAACTCGCAGGCGCGTGAGTTGACGCCCGTGAGACGCGCGGCAGCTGGATTTCACCGTCACCCTGGACCGCTAGCAGCTGCGACAACGCCCAGATGCGAGCAGTAAAAAATACACTTCGTGGCGACCCAGCCCGAGCACCATTCGCGCAGTGCCCGGCGCGCGGGCAACGCTTGGCGTCGCGCGAGGTCGCGCGCGTCCGCATAGGATCTGCGCCCCGCGAAGCGCTCGATGAGGACGTGCCGATTGGCGCCGACGGGCCCTCGATCGCGCCGCGAGACGCGCCAGTCGGCGAGATCACCTCCAGCACTCCTGCATCCACTTGGGAGCAGCCGTCGCCCCGAGATCCACCGCAGAGCGGCGGGGCCGACGTGCTTAAGCGGCGCCCGCGACCCGCGATTGCTGTGAGCCTCGAGGCGATTGCGCCAAACTGTGCGCGCATCCTTCGAGGACAACCTCCATCCATTATCTTCTCTCACCTGCCAGGTCACGGCGCCCGCGCACCGGCGCCTCGCCCTGCGCCTCGCCCCGGCCCATTAATTTGCTCAAGCCTTAGGGCAAGTTTTCAGGCATCACGCCTGCGGCCCGATGTTACCAGCGCGCGCGGGTGCGGCCTGGAAAAACTCGCGCCACCATCGCTCGCGCGCGCGAGTTCCTCCAGTTCCGCTCCTAAGGGCACGGGCGGGCCACCCGCGAACGAGCGCGAGCCCGCGCCCCGCCATGTCGCGCGCCCCCGGATCAGACAGCGACGGGGTCTCCCTGCTGGCGCTGGGGTTGGACAGTTCTGGTTCTCTTCTTCCTTTGTTCATCTTCTCCGCCAGAAATGTTCGATCGCCCGCGCCCGAGTCAAATCAGAAGGTCCGCCGCCGTTTGGTTCAAACGCCGGCGCATATTTGTGCATCGTGCGGAAAGTATAAACATTGCAATCATTATATTATTGCCGCCGTGCGTTCTGTTGTGCAGCTGTCAATCCCCGCAATTATACTTCCTCCTTCTCCTCCTCCTCCTCTTCCGCGCCATGAAGGCGCGTCTTGGTCGCTTAACCAGGGGGTGGAAGAGCTGTAGCGCGTGGTTTGGGCAGATGTTCTGGATGTGCTCAGCGCCGACCCCCCCTCGTGTAAGATTGCAGTCGTTCGCGCCTGCCTGGGCGGGCGGGTGGGTGCGCGATATTAGTATTCGCAACACTGGCCCCCGATGCATCATGGCCTGAAATGCCCCAGGCTCTCTCACCCACGATGCGAGGCGCCCTGGATTCCTTACCCGGGCGGCCGTGGCTGCTGGCACGCCGTTGCCATCGTCGACGCTTCGCTTGTTAGCCTTCTGTCCTTGCTGCCTTTCTCGGTTGCGGCTTGTGGTTGCCGCTAATCACTTCCATCGCCTTCACCACAACTAGCGGGGACGGTTAAGCGGATGGGCGCCTTCGGATTCCGAGGCGACGGATTTCGCCCGCGCTGCGCGTCTCGCGGCTGATTTCCCGCACATTGCGGGGTTCGTCGATGAGCGTGGGTGGAACATTCTTAGGGGCACTCGGCCTCGTCGTCCTCCGCCTCCGCCTCTCCTCCTCCTTCTCCTCGTGCTCCTGCTCCTGCTCCTGCTCCTGCTCCTCCCCCCTCTGCCACAGGGCACCCTGCACATGGCGAAACAGCTCGGAGCTGGATGTCAGGGGGGGGGGGCGGGAGTCACCATCCCTTGTGCCGCCCAGAGGCATGCCAAGATTCAGCTCGAGAGGCTCGCCGAGGAGGAGCGCCTGGAGAAGTTCCGGGAGGAAATGGTGCAGAACTGCAGCGACCAGACCAGCTTGTTCAGGGCCAGGGTGGAGTCGATGAAGGAGATCGGCGGCGAGCGAGGGGGGCAAGTGAGAAAAGGCCTTCTCAGAAGGCGACGGCTTTTTCAGAAAGCCTCGCGTCTTCTGATAAGTTGTTTTGCGTTTACGGGGAAACTTCGAAACATGTCATAAGGCCGGGGCTCTTCCAAGCCTTCTGAAAAGGCCCGCCTCTCCTCACTTCCCCCTGGGCGCGCCGCTTAGGAGAAGCGCGACGAGATGCGCAACGAGCGCATCCAGGCGAGCGAGGAGAGGCTGCGCGAGATGGACCGGAGGATGCTCGAGGTGGAGGCTCGCCGCGCGGAGGACGCGAAGCTGCGCCAGGTGCGCAGCGAGGAACAGCACCTCCACCTCATGGACGTGCGGGAATCCAAGAACCGCATCGAGCGCGTCGAAGGCTACAGGCGCGACGAGCTCCGCGGCCAGGTGGAGGGCAACATCGAGCGCATCGAGACGCTCCTGGCGCTGAAAGACCAGCTGATCGACCAGCGCAAGGCCCGCAATATGAAGCAGGACGCCACGAAGGGCTCCCGCGGCCTCAACCTGCGGCGGGACTGCCTCCCAGGCCCCGGGCAGTACGAGGCCCCGCAGAGCACTCTGCTGGACGCCAAGACGGGGAAGATCGGCAAGGATCAGCGACCGAAAGACGTCCCCCTCCCTCCCTCCCTCCATCCCCCCCCCTCATCGTCGTCTTCGTCGCCTCCCTCCTGGCCCTTCTTCGTCTCTCTGCCTCCTCTTCCTCGTGTCTGCGCTGCGCCGTGCCATGGCACGCGCCCGCCGCCACGTCGACACGAAGGCGGCCGGGAGCGACCGCCGCAGGTGTGCCTGCCCCTCGGTCTGGGTCAGGGGCTGCGGCTCGCAGGCCAGTTTCGAGCCGAGGGCACAGCACGGAAGTACCCCTTCGTAACGAATCGGCGGCGAGCGAGGGGGGGAAGTGAAAAGGAGGAGGCCTTCTCAGCAGGTTCGGAAGTCCCCCGGCCTTCTGAGAAGTTTTCTAAGCCTTTCCCGAAGACAGAAACAACCTCTCAGAAGGCGCGAGGGCTTCTGAGAAGTCCCGCCGCCCTCTGAGACGTCCTTCTCCTTCTCATTTCCCCCCCTTGCTCGCCGCCAAATGAGTGTTACGGTCGACCCGAGGTATAAGGTCGAGATTGGTTCGTGCAGGGTACCCAATGTTCCTCGTGCCTGTTGGATGCTCTTGCGCATCCTGGGGGAGGGCACCCTCGAACGTGCTTCAGTTTGGCCAGCGGAGGGTCTCTCATGTTCTTCAGGGGTGCTCCTCTGTCCCAGGTCTGGCCGCGCCCTCGCCTCCCCCGACAACGGCCGATGCCCGACCCGCCCCTCCCACGCGTTTCCGGACGGGGCTAGGACGAAGATAAATCCGTTCCAGAGCGTTCCGGAACGTTCCGAGAAGGCCGCGGCGCCCGAGACAGCCTGCAGAGCCGCCAGATCTCAGATATTCTCGATGTGCCCTCGCTCGATTTTAGATTCGTCCTGGCTTCGTCTTGCGTAATGGGGGTCGGTAGATGGGGGGGCGGCGAGGGCTGCCCAACAGGGGCCTTCTAGTGCCTTAAATGTGCCCTTTAGGGCTCAGAATGATGCCTCTGGGGCCCGAAAAGGGCACCACATTCTCCCCCCCCCTCCCTCCTCATTGATCGACCCCCCTTCATTCGCTCCCAAGACCCGCCCCTCCCGCGCGTTTTTGTTCCTGTACCGCAGGCTCTGCCAGGCCGTGTGCCCGTGCCGCGTGCGCGCCGCCCGCTCGTGGAGCGCCCCCTCCGTCGCCCCGACCGGCGCTTCCGCCCCCGCGCCTGCCGCGCGCTCCTTGCCCCCCCCTCGACAGTGCAACGCACGGTCGTCGTTGGAGAGATTCGGGGGCTGCTGCAGGTGCCCCCTGGTCCACGGGGCCCCTGGGATTTTCAAGGAGGCCACTCAGGCCTCCAGGGCACACCTCACGAGGCCCAGAGGGCCCCCCCCCAGGGGCTCCAAGATGAGGCGGAAAGCTGGGGGCACCCTGGGCCAGGGGCAGCTGTTGTTAGCAGCCCACCGGAAGATGGCGTGCGATATGGTGCCGCCGGCCCGATTCTTACACGCTGTCCCCCCACCTTGGGGACGGCGTGTGCCGAAGCAGCCCCGGAGGGGGGACGCCATGCACAGAAGGGACCCCCCGCGGGGACGTCGCCTCACAGGGACAGCGCGCTTTCCAGAGGTCGATGTTGCATACGTTACAGTCGGCCCTGATTAGTAGGTCGACCCTGCCAGCTCAAGGGTACCTTTGTGTCCTGTGCCTCGCGACACGTGCCTCCTTGCACTCCTATGGCGATGTGGTCTTCGGAAGGGTCTTGTGTCCTCTCGCGTGACCTCTCCAATCAAGTCCGACTCTATCTCTCCAACGCCGACCCTGAGGGCCGCGAAGCTGGCCGGGCAGGGGCGCGTTCCAGAGAGGGCCTCGGCTTCGAGGAGCCTCAGGGGTCGGCAGCGCTTCCTCGGTGGAGGGCGGCCGGAGGCCGGCGGCCGCCGGCGGGGGGAGTACAGGGGCGGCTCCGCCAGCGGAGGCCGGCGGAAGTAAGAGGAGGAGCCCCCCAGGAGTCGAGCAGTGGCGAAGTGTCCTGGCTCGCCTACCAGAGACGCTTCTGAGGTTACCACGAGATGTTCTTGGAACATTTCTGGTTGGGACTGTCTTGTTCCCAACCATCCTGTGGTGTTGGGTCCTCGTTTTGAAGAGACGTCGCCCCGCGTTCTCCTCTCCTCTCCTCTCCTCCTCCCCTCCTCCCTCCTCCCTCCTCCATTTTGGCACACCCCTCACACGTGTCGTGGCCCCATAGGGAGCTCCGCCGAAGGCCCAAGTGCTGCCGCCCGCATGCGTCACGCACACCCACTTCGGCACACCCCTCACACGTGTCGTGGCCCCATAGGGAGCTCCGCCGAAGGCCCCAGTGCTGCCGCCCGCATGCGTCCGCACACCCAATTCGGCACACCCCTCACACGTTTCGTGGCCCCATAGGGAGCTCCGCCGAAGGCCCCAGTGCTGCCGCCCGCATGCGTCCCGCACGCCCAATTCGGCACACCCCTCACACGTTTCGTGGCCCCATAGGGAGCTCCGCTGAAGGCCCCAGTGCTGCCGCCCGCATGCGTCACGCACACCCAATTCGGCACACCCCTCACACGTTTCGTAGCCCCATAGGGAGCTCCGCCGAAGGTCCCGGTGGTGTGCCCGCATGCGTCCCGCACATTCATTTCGGCACACCCCTCACACGTTTCGTGGCCCGATAGGGAGCTCCGCCGAAGGCCCCAGTGCTGCCGCCCGCATGCGTCCCGCACACCCATTTCGGCACACCCCTCACGCGTTCCGTGGCCCCATAGGGAGCTCCGCCGAAGGTCCCAGTGGGTGTGCCCGCATGCGTCCCGCACACCCATTTCGGCATACCCTTCACACGTTCCGTGGCCCCACAGGGAGCTCCACCGAAGGCCCCAGTGGGTGTGCCCGCATGCGTCCCGCACACCCATTTCGGCATACCCCTCACGCGTTTCGTGACCCCTCACACGCTTCGTGGTCCCATAGGGAGCTTCACCGAAGGCCCCAGTGGGTGTGCCCGCATACGTCCCGGGCACCCATTTCGGCACACCCCTCGCACGTTTCGTGGCCCCGTATGGGGGCTCCACCGAAGGTCCCAGCGGGTGCCGCCCGCATGCGTCCCGCACACCCATTTCGGCATACCCTTCACACGTTTCGTGGCCCCATAGGGAGCTCCGCCGAAGGCCCCAGTGGGTGTGCCCGCATGCGTCCCGCACACCCATTTCGGCATACCCCTCACGCGTTCCGTGACCCCTCACACGCTTCGTGGTCCCATAGGGAGCTCCACCGAAGGCCCCAGTGGGTGTGCCCGCATGCGTCCCGCACACCCATTTCGGCACACCCCTCGCACGTTTCGTGGCCCCGTAGGGGGCTCCACCGAAGGTCCCAGCGGGTGTGCCCGCATGCGTCCCGCACACCCAATTCGGCACACCCCTCACACGTTTCGCGGCCCCATAGGGAGCTCCACCGAAGGTCCCAGTGGGTGTGCCTGCATGCGTCCCGCACACCCATTTCGGCACATCCCTCACACGCTTCGTGGCCCCATAGAGAGTGCCACCGAAGAAGATATTCACAATTGCGGTACTCACAATTGCATATGGTTGGGTCCTTCGCCAGGATAATTTTACCACATCGGGCTTATGTTCTAAGGACATTGTTGTTGTTCTGAGAACATCTCTGGGTTCTACGACAATTTCGTGGTAGGACTATAGACATGCCGGGACGGCTGGTCCCTGCTCAAAAGAGATACCAAGTTTTCAAGGGCCGACCACAACGTTGTTGAGCTTGGTTTGGGTCTTTGTTTTGTTTATCGTTCCGTTTTTGGGCCTCGGCTCTATCTTTCGTTCAGGTGTTTGTTTCTGTTTCGTTCCGTTATTCGTTCTTGTTTTCAACGCCTCATCTCGCTGGTCGTTTCGTTTGGTACCGGTTTCGTTTTAATCGTCCGTTTAAAACTGTGGGCCTCGTTTCGTTTTCCGTTTGAAGCCCCATTTCGTTTTAATCATCGTTGTGATCGATTTTTACATTTTTTGGTTGGTTCAGGGTTTCTGGCGATGACGTGGCTGGCCCAGGGCGAGAGTCGTACACAGTGAAGGCGCTGAAATCAGGATCCCTGTGGGCTCAGGAGGGGCTCTGGTCTCCGGGCCGCTCCTCAGATTCACATTCTAGGGGGGTACCCGCTTGACGGGGGTCAACCTCGCCTTGTCGTCGCGCCGCGACGGGGGTCTGAGCGCCTTCGGCGCGCGGTGGCTGCCCGCAACGGGGGTCGATGTGGGGCTGCCTGCGGGGGTGACGCCCCCCGACGCATACTGAGAAACTCGGAGTAGGTCGGGGAGCCTATTCGTGACCGAGACCTTCGTTCCTTATCCAGCGTTCCTCATGGTAGCACTCAACGTTTTTCGGCTTTCGGGTCGTAACTAGGGTCTCTGGCGGCGGTCCGGGACGATCCAGGCACCAGAATGCCTTCGAGGCGCAGCTGCTGGAATGCACCCCGAGGCTCGAAAACTTCCGAGAACCAACGAAACTCTTGAGGATGCTCCCGAGATGCTGAAACTTGTAGCTAGTTTTTTGGAGGACGATCAATGGAGAGGAATCATGCTGCCAGATAATTTTCAGATGTCTAAGTGATGTTTCAACACTGTTTGAATATGTAAAGCACATGTTTGAAGCATGATTTGAACATGTTTCACACATGTTGAACACATCTTTAAATCACTGATAGGATTGTTAGAGTGTCCATTGTCATGGCATCCACAAAGCTAGTAACGCACAGGCAGTGCAGACTGCTATCGAGGCCGGCGGCCGCCTGCGTACGTGGCCCTCCAGAGCGATCCCGAATCACCACCAGGCAGTGTGGCCACCGCGCCGTTAGGGACCCGCGAATCTTGGAGTACGGGATCGTCTACAGAATTGATTTACCCCAAAATTGAGGTTCTCGCCGAGTCATACGCAGGATGTTCGTAGAACGACGAGCGCTCTACGCATTTCTCATGGATTCGAACAGAAAATCAATTTGGAGGTAAATCAATTATGTAGTCGATCCCCTACTCGAAATCTGGCAGAATGCTTGGATCGCCGATGTTGCTTTCCAGAACCTCGAAGCGAGGGATCGAAGGGGCCTTGCCTTCGAGGATCGAAGGAGTTGTCATCTCGACCTCGGCGGAAGGCGGCGGAAGGGCGGTGGAAGGTCGGCGGAAGTACAGCGAGGCCGCCTCCGCCGGCGGATGCCGGCAGAGGGGCGGCGGAAGGTGGCGGAAGAAAAGCATGCGCCCCCAAGAGATGGCAGCATCTTTGGGTTCAGGGTTGCCGGAAGCCGCCACGTGTGGCCGCATGCCTCGCCGGCGCTCGGCCCCCCGCGTGGCCCTCGGCGGGCGGCAGTCCCGCGCGCGAGGCGCTGCGCAGGCGCACTCGCGTGCGGCTCCGCTGCGCCATGGGGCGACCGCCGCGGCCCCCGTGCGGCCCGTGCCCTCCTCGGCCACCGGAGGGCCGACGCTCCCCGGGCCTCCGGGGCTCAGGGCGGGGGCCACGCGCGGAGGGGCTCCAGGGGGGGGGGGGATCCATCACCCGCGCTCGCACATGGATCGCCGATGATCGGACCCGACGGCCCACCCCGCCCAGGAGCGCGTGGATTCGCTGTCGGGGGCCCGTCGCCGATCCGTCGGGGATGGATCGCCGATTCTGGGTCGGTGTTCCCCCCCGGGAGCTGGTCCCCCCCCCCCCACACACAAAAGTCGCCTCGCACTCCTTGGCGGGGCAGGAGCGGCCAGCAGCGAGGCGGAGAAGCGGATCGGATCGGAGCGCGCGTCGGATCGGGCCGCATGGGCACGGGGTCGGAGTCGGATCGGCCGGGCCTCGCCAGGCTCCCCTGTGTGCGTGTGTGTTTGCGAGTGTGTGTTCCCGCTTCCCAGTGCAGCCTCCCAGAAGCAAAGTGAGCGCACTGCTTCTGGACGTCACTGAAGGCCCATACGGGAACCAAATCGCCCAAGAAGCCTGATCCTGGGCTTCCAGGCGAGATCAGACATGCCTAGAGGAGTTCTAGATCGTCGTCTGTGACTGCTGGAGTGCATGTTTTGGGTGGGGCGGTAAACAGATCCCCCCCTCACTTGACCACTGGTCGTTCACCTGCCCAGAATTCGTCCACAGCCAGTCCGCAGTACAGTCGGACCGTGGCATAAGATCGAGGTCGGTTCGGGGAGGGTACCCTATTGTTCTTCGTGCTTGTTGGATGTTCTTGTGCGTCCTGGGGGCAGGGTCCCTCGAGTGTTCTGTAGTTTGGCTGGCGGAGGGTCTCGTGTTCTTGAGGGAGGTTCTTCTGTCCTAGGCCCGGCCGTACTCCTCCCTGGGTCCATCCGAGCGCTTCTTCTGTCTTGCGCCCATCTTTGGCGGCACGGGGGCCCGAAACTTGCTTCCAGAGACCGACCACGGGGAGACGCGCCTCGAGCCTCGCCGTCCCCCCCCCCCCTCCGCCGTCCCCCCCCCCGGTCCCCGTCCTGGGGATCCTGTCGGCCCGAGGTGTAAGATCGAGGTCGGTTCGGGGATGGTGCCCTAATGTTTTTCGTGCTTGTTGGATGTTCTTGTGCGTCCTGGGGGCGGAGTAGCCCTCGAGTGATATGATGGTTTGGGGTGCTTTGGCCTGGCGGAGGGTCTCGTGTTCTTGAGGGATGCTCTTCTGTCCCTGGTCCGACCGTAGAGGCACAAAAACATTGCGTAAACATAATCTTGGATCGGCGCTGGCCCCCTGGCGGCGCCTTCGTTGCCGCCCCTGGCGCGCTCCGCGCGCCAGAGAGTGGGGTCCAGCGCAGATGCAAGAAGTCTGCGCGGAGCTCCAAAAGTTTCTGGTGGTGTATTCATTCCCCAATTTGTGCTTGCACTGAAGGGGTCCTAGCAAAGATTGAAAGACTTGGTGAAAGTGCCGGGCCGATTTCGGCAGGCGGCCGGTTTCTCGTTCCCGGTTCCGGTTTCTTTGGTTCCCTGGTTGCTGGTTCTGGTCCGATTTCGGTGGGCGGCGGGGTCCACAGGTTTCTGTGTTCCCCGGTTCTTGGTTGATCTCCTTATCGATCGGTCTCACCATCGGTCTCACTTCCCATCTCTAGTGATCTCACACTCGATCCCACTAAAGATCGCAGAAGCGATCTCACGATCGATCTCACTATCGATCTCGCTGAATCGACTTCACGGTCGGTCTCACGATCGACCTCACTATCGTCCTTACTATCGGTCCCACTATCGGTCTCACTATCGTTTCACAGTCGATCTCAATACCCATACGACGAAATTCAAACCATCTAACGATTGGGTTTTTTCTCTAGTGTAGTTATGTTTCTTCTTTTCCTTCGAGGGGGCTGAGGTTCGAGGATCAAGGAGTGTGTTCGGGAGGCTCTGAAAGGTTTTGGGGGATCCTCAGGGGCCGAAAGGAGAGAAACGCAGCGACGTCTGCTCGGCACGTATCCGCCAGCACGCGTGCGACTTGAAAAGGGTTCGCGTGGGCGTACCCCCCTCCCTCCGTGTCGCTACGGCACTGAAACAAGGACCACCTTGGTCTCAGGAGGGGAATCGCTCGGACGTGTGCTTGCTTCCTTCGGCGAGGACAATCGAGGAGCATCCTTGATCACTTGGCGAAACAAGCAGAAAAAACAGGGAGTGGACGTCCGAGCGATGGCGAGCAGGAGGGGCTGGGGTTTTCGGGCCGCTCTGCAGATCTGCTCAGGTCGGGGGCCCTCTTCGTCGCCGAGGCTTGCCGTGGCAGCAACTTGCCATCGCTCGGACGTGCGCATTTTTTCTCGGACAGAACCATCGAGGACCATCCTGGACCAGTCAGTCAGTCAGAAGCCGTGCATCAATGAGACGCGTTTGCAAAAGCATCCGGATCACTATTGGACCCGTGCTTGGTGGTGCACCTGCCACTAGTTATACAAACCCTCCAGGTTACGATGGCGCGCGGCGGAAAAAGGAGCGCATCACGACTGTGAGGCACAAGTGCAGAGCACACTGCGACTGTGAAGCAGAAAATGCAGCGCCCGACTGTGAAGCACACAACACAAAATATACAACTGGCCGATCAGCAGGAGGAAGGAGGGAGGGGAGGGGAGGAGGAGGACGAGGAGGAGGAGGAAGGAGGGAAAAGCAGCAAGACAAAACAAGTCAGACATGCATTTGTTCCAAAGCAAACACTGATTTCGCCCACTACTGTCGCGGACGCCCTCTGCCACGGCGGTGCACCCAAGTTTTTGGGGTACCATCCGGGTTGCACACAACACGTCGTATAAAAGAGTCCGCCGGCTGATTCGCTATGCTTCTGTACAGTGTGATTTGTTTTTTTTCTGTAAAACTTGTGACAGCAAATTCTCGGCCTTTTCTAAGACAGTCGCGTTGGAATATCTGGATCTAAACGAGTGCGGTATACCGAGGATCTAGCGCAAACGCTTGCAGTGACACGCATCGAGCCTATCTCGTTCTTCTTTCAGCTACCACAGAGCATCCAGAGAATATAACAGCTTGCTGATCACGCAGCTCCAATAGATGTGCAATTTGCGTTGTTGCCCAATTGAGGTGTGAGACCATAATTTTTGAAGCTGCCTGAATATGGCTGTGCTTTCAGTTATCCGTCGTGAAACTTCGTTGGTTGCCCTGCCGTCGCAAGTCAAAAGCTCTCCTAGGTATATAGCTTCTCTGACGCTTTTGATGGGATCTCCGGTAGGTTGTTTCAATGTACTCTGGCAACACATTAGTATTTGTATTGTTTTGTCCCAATTGAGCTCCATGCCGTATTTCTGTCCCTCCAATACGATATTGTCCAACATCTGTTGTAAGTATCCGGCGTGGGTAGACACGAGTAGGGTGTCGTCCGCGTAGAGGAGGTCTCTGCTGACAACGTATTCTGGTTCTCCAGCTAGTACAAGATCAGACAGAGCGTCGTGGAGAAGAACAGCTTGCACGATTATAAACAGATGCGGTGACAGAGGACAGCCTTGGGCTATGCTCGCCATTTGCGCCCTTTCACTTGAACGGCCACAATGGTCCACTATCGTAAAATATCTGTGTGCATATATTCCTTTGGTCATATCGACCATAGGAGGCGGGATGCCAAAACGCCACAAGGCTTTGCATAGACAGTCTGGTTTGATGCGGTCGAAAACCATTGCCCAGTCCAGTCGTAATAATATCAATTCATCGGTTTTGTTTTGATGACCTGCATCTACTATTTTTCGGGTAAGCGATAATGCTGCCGCCGTGCCGCGTTTCGGTCGGAAGCCAAATTGAGATTGTCGTATCTGGTCCTCGGCGCCTCCTTCGAGAGCAACAAAACACACGCACGACACCGAAAAATGCACGGGAAATGGACGCCCG